CATCCTCATTATCATCATCATTCTCGTCGTTGTCGCCATGATCACCATCCAAATCTTCACCATCACCCTCATTCCCAGCATCACAACCATTATCAGCATCTTAATCTTAAACACCATCATCAGCGTCATCTTCATCACCACGCTCATCATCATCATCACGTCACCATCATAATCATAACCAGTACCATCACCGTCATCCTCATCATCCTCATCCTCCTCCTCCTCATCATCATCATAGTAGTACTAACCAGGATCAGCGACATCATAACTACCACCATGATCTTCACCATCACCACCAACACCATCATCATCATCATCATCATCATCATCATCATCATCATCATCATCATCATCATCATCATCGTCATCACCATCATCATCATCATCATCATCCTCCCCACCATCACCGCCACCATCACCATCATCACCAGCACCAGCACCGCCATCCCCATCCTGGGCACGGGCGCGCGCGTGTTCCCTGCATCCGCTCTGGCTTACCCCTCGGGCGTTTTGGGCCTCATGTGGGAGGCCCTAAACCAAGGCCCACATGCACCAGCGTGCCGTGCTGTGCAGGGAACATCAGGGGGGAGCAGGAGAAGGGGGATGAGCGTTGCTAGTCCAGAAAAGAGACACTGTTAGAACATTTGGCTTGTTGTGCGCCGCCGATTCTCGCCCACTACGCTTCGGCGCAACACACTAACCATTTCCTGGCCCCGAGCGTCAACGTCCCGAGCCGTTCCCAGCTTGAGGGGTGATGATATGATGATGATGATGATGATGATGATGATGATGATGATGATGATGATGAGGATGTTGATGTTGATGATAATGATCATGATGATGCTGATGATGATGCTGATGCTGATGCTGATGCTGATGATGCTGATGCTGATGCTGATGCTGATGCTGATGCTGATGGTGATGGTGATGGTGATTGTGATGGTGATGGTGATGATGATGCTGCTGATGATGCTGATGATGATGGTACTGATGATGATGATGCTGATGATGATGATGAGGATGAGGAGGAGGGAAACGGTGACAAGGAAGCGGGTTGCATGTGAAAGAGGAGAGGAAACTAGAGAGTAGTAGGAGGAGCAATTGGAGGAGGATGGCGATACCAGGAGCATGACGATAGTGAAAAGGATAATTGTTACAGGTTACCCAAGCTCCTTCTGAAAAAAGAATCCATCACCCACTCATGCAAGGGGTGCACATGTTCTAGCATCGGGTCTCAATATCTGCGGACGCACTATGCGATATCACCATGTTCAAACTTGTCCTGTCACCCGTGCACCTGCCACATGCGATTAAGCTTGGTGGTGTACGACATGAGTGCGTCTTAAGATATTGCCACACTGAACAGTGCGTTGTTGCTGATCCGCGAAGCTGTTCAACACGTAAGACGAGTGTACGCGGCGCTGAGGCGACTCTTCCTCCTCCCTCCTTCATCCATCCTCCTCGCTCCTTTCTCCATCCATCCATCCATCCTGCCCGTCCGCCTGCCTCGTCGGCATCCTCCTCCTGCCTTTGCCGCCTCCCGCGGCAGAGATCATCCGTTGAACGTAGCCACGTATGCCAGGGTTAAAGGTTTTAGTCTCGTGCTCTCACCTTATCCCTGGTACCGGTGTCGAGCCGACGGCCTCGCATTGAATCCGCTAGTTGAATCCCGTCCCCTCTCCCTCTGAGCCTCTCTCTCCCCCCCTCTCCCCCCCCTCCTCCCTTCCCTCCCCGTCCTCTCTCGCCCCCCTCTCCCTTCCCTCTGCCTCCCTCCCCCCTTCCCCCCGCTGCCCCCCCTCGTTCCTTCCAACCCTCCCCCCTCCCTGCCCCCCCGTCATTCAAACCCTCCTCCCTCCCCTCTCCATCCCTCCCCCTCGTCCCCCCTCCCTGCCCCCTCCCTCCCTCGTCCCCCTCGCTCCAACCCTCCCCCCTCCCTGCCCCCCGTCATTCCAACCCTCCTCCCTCCCCTCTTCATCCCTCCCCCTCGTCCCCCCTTCCCGTCCCTCCCCCCCGCTCCTGCCCGTGGGTCCCGGTCCCTTCCCCGAACTCTGCCTCCCGGCAGAGGGGAGAGATCGGGGAAGCAGGGGAGAGGACGAGGGAGGAGGAGGAGGAGGAGGGGGAGGAGGAGGAGGAGGAGGAGGAGCAAGATCCCGAGGAGGAGGAGGAGGAGGAGGAGGAGGAGGAGGAGGAGGAGGATGTCGAGGGAAGAGGAGGAGCAGGAGGTGGAGGAGGAGGAGCAGGAAGATGATGAGGAGGAGGGCGAGTAGGGGTAGGAACAGGAGTAGGGGTACGGGCAGGAGTAGGGGTAGGAGTATGAGTAGTAGCTGTAGGAGCTAGGAGTAGGAGTAGGGGCAGGAGTACGGGTAGGGGCTAGGAGTAGGAGTAGGGGTATAGAAGCAGGAGTAGGAGTAGGAGTAGGGGTAGGAGTAGGAGTATGAGTAGTAGTTGTCGTCGTCGTCAACGTCATTGTCGTCGTCGTCGTCGTCGCCGCAGCCGCCGT